AGGGGCGGTGGGGTAGCCTAATGGTTAAAGCGTTGGCTCGTCACACCGAAGACCCGGGTTCGAATCCCCACATGGGTAAAATGTGTGAAGCCCATTTCTGGTGTCCCCCGCCGTGATGTTGCTGGAATATTGCTAAAAGCGGCGTAAAACAAAACTCAGTCAGTCAGTCAGTTGTGTTTCGATGACTGCAAACAGCCTTTATAAGCTATTGTCTCTACAGCTGGCTCTTATAAGCTTATATGTGATTTATGAAACGCCCAGGTAGCCCAGTGGTTAAAGCTTCTTTTACGTCGAGGACCTGGTCGTACGCCCGTTCTCAGAAAAAAATGTCTGAGGCACATGCTTAGTGTCACTTGTGTATTGTCCTAGCAGGACTGACAAGACAAACTCCCCCACTACCTACCCAAGTTTGGGGTGGCATAGCTTAGCCTCGTTCATCACACCTGGTCGATTCCTATCTTGGTACGACAGCACATCCTTAATCCTAAATATCTTCTGTCATAAGCTTGGAACAAGTATGCTTAAAACGTCGTGAACTTACTATTAATTCGTGGCAGAAGTGTACAATATTATAAAACGGTGAGTGGGTTTGATTTAAAGATGCCTTGACAAGATTAATATAGTATTACGCCATTTCTGCTTTCTGGTATTCAAAGCATGAGGGCGCGGTGGGGTAGCCTAGTGGTTAAAGCGTTCGTTCCTCACGCCGAAGACCCGGGTTCAAATCCCCACATGACTACAAGGTGTGAAGCCCATTTCTGGTGTTCCCCGCCGTGATATTGCACTATTTATAAAATCAGCTAAACTAAACTCACACACTCGAAGCATGAGCGTAGGATTCTGGTACCTTAAAGGCCCGCAACTTGGCATTGACCGCAGTGGTACCTTTAACGACTGGGACCACCCTGTCCGTCCTAAGTCCACGAACACAACACTATAAGCAAATTATCCCATACACGTCAACACCTCAAATGACACTGTCAACAAACGTTAAAAGAGATGTGAAGAGGATAGGAAGCCCTTATCTACCAAATAAGTACAGCACAATATACTGATGATATAAAAAACATGGGTATTCAATATTTTTTAAATAGTGAGAGCCGGGTGAATGATATACCCTAAGCGATAGTATGTTCGAGAGTTGCGGTTCAAAGAGGGTATTGTGCCAACTGTGTGTATAGAGGAAGAAGGAAGGTTCCTCCATACAGCTGAGGCCATTGGTGTTGTATTGATATAATGCTCTGTATTACTATTTATACTATACACAGTTTGACCATCAAAGGTAGGGTTTAAATACACAGTGAATATTGCGAACGAGTCTCCATGTATTCTTTTCAGTGAAGTAGTGTTGATGACTTGTAAACTGTTATCAGTTTGTATGTTTTGTCATCAAAATGTGGACATTTAACCACAAATGACACAAGGAGCAGAGGTTCAACACTATGCTGAAACTAAAATCAAATCAGAATTATAATCTGTGATTTGACTTGTAATACAATCTACAATACAACCCGCAATACAACCTTAAACACAAACAATATAGAACAAACTTTATGGATAACAACTTCTTGTTATCCATAAAGTTTGTTCTATATTGTACTTCCCAACCTCTAAAATGCCACTCAAAGAAGTTAAACACAAACGACGAAATAACCGACAAGAAAACCTACATATCTGCAATGCAGCCTACAACCAACCTACGATACAGCCTACTATAAAACCTACGACACAACCTACAACGTGTCCTGCAATACAACCTACAGCACGACTTGCACTACAACCTACAACACAGCCTGCAACACAGCCTGCAGTACATTTTCCAATACAACGTAAATAAATCTCCAATACAATTTCCAATACAGCGTACAATAAATCTCCAATACAACCTGCAACACAATTTCCAATAGAACGTAAAATAAATCCCCATACAATCTCCAATAGAACCTGCAATACAATCTCCGATAGAACGTAAAATAAATAGCCAATACAACCTGCAATACAATCTCCAATACAACGTAAAATGCATCTCCAGTACAGCCTGCAAATCAATCTCCAATACAGCGTAAAATGCATCTCCAATACAACCTGCATTGCAATCTCCAATCGACCAACAACCTCCATAACTAATCACACAACCTTCAATAAAACCTGCAACCCAACCCGCAATACAACCCCGAGTACAACGTGTATTAAACACAACACAACCTACATCACAGCGTACAACACAACCCGCAATCCAGCCTACAACATATCTCTGTAACACAACACGCAATACATTTCACACAACCTGCAATCTGCAATACAACTTGCACAACAGTCTGTAACAGACTGTAGTCTACAGTATCACCCACACAGAACCAACAAGATAATGTACAGTACAACCCACGAGTCTACTTACAACCAGGTGAGTAATGTTCACTAACAAGAACATCTATGGTGCGATAAAAGCTGTTTGATATGCAAGGTGGCCAGAATGAATACAACTAAATACATGAGAAAGTATGACTCAAAATCTTCAGCATTAAGACATGTTTACTAAAGTCCTCCAAGTCGACTTCTCTTGTTAGCCTTATGGCCCAAGTACAACTCTGGAGCAAGTACAACTCTGGAGCAAGTACAACTCTTTTTGTCTAAAAACACCGAACTATCTTTATTGCTTCCTCCACTCACGTACAGGGATTTCCCGTATTTAAGCCATGGGCTTAATAACGGAAAATGACCCTTCTCGTTCACAAATAAAAATTTTTTTAAATAATTAAGCCCGGGGCTTAAATTCGGGAAATGCTTGTAACTGAAGAAAATGATTCTAAGACACGATAAAATGGAATGAACTTTAATATAACCGGAATAATGCAGAAACCTGAACTTTAGACAATCATCCAAGAATTGTCTTAGACCTGAACTTGAATGACACCCCCTCTTTTATATTTACATACTTTACTGTTCTTAGCGAACGTGTCCTATGTTATCATCATATTTTATTGCGACTGCGTGTGAGTCATATAGATTGAGGTTGTCTATATGGGTATAGAGTACCTGAATGGCTTCTCTTGGGACTCCATGTAAACATGAAAACTCAGTAACTAACGGGCACTACAAACGTTATACAGTACAACCAGAAATTATTGAGAATTTAAAGATTGTAATTTAAAAAATAAATTCACTCATTACTCACGTATTAAATGTGAATATTAGCAGAACATAACTCCAGATTCAAAGACAGGTGAACAGTTAGTATTTTGTCAAGTCACCATGGGCAGCAATGCAGGCTTCAATGCGGCGGGGCATACTACTGATCAAAGAAGTTAGTAAGTTGTGGTCCATGCTGTCCCAATATCGGACCACCTCTTCTTTCATTTCAGCAATATTTGTCAGATTTTTCTTATTGACACTTTCCTGCATAAGTCCCCAAACATTTTCTATTGGATTTAGGTCAGGGGTATAGCTTGGCCAATCTAATAATGTCATATTTTGGGTCCGAAACCAGGCCTGTGAATGCTTTGAACGATGTTTTGGGTCGTTGTCCTGCTGAAAAATCCAAAATTTCCACAGAACACGTGAGCAGATGGAAGTAAATGTCCCTCGAGAATATCCGTGTACCGCTCACTGTTCATATTCACTTCAAACACACAGAGGGGCGTTGCCCCTAACACAGATATGCCACCCCACACGTTAAATTTCGGACTGTACTTTGGGCGCTGATACAATGGTTTTTCAGTTTGTTTGGTCCAGAATTTCAGTGTATTAGGAAACAGCCACACAGAACTTTCATCTGAGAAAATCACATTGTCCCAGTTACAATTTCTATGCTGTAAGCACTAGTTCAACCTTCGCTCCTTCTGTTCAGGTTTCATGATCGGTGATGGAATTCCTCGACTTTTCTGCCAACCCATTCATTGCAGCTCAGTTCTAATTGTCTCCTTACAGACAGCCACAGTTCCTCTATCAATTATATTCAGCCTTAAGTTTTCTAAACTCCTTCGTTTGTTTTTAGAAACAAGAATACCAAGCCGCCTCCTGTCACTGACAGTCAATTTTCTGGGCCTACCTGCGCCTCCCTGGTGCTCAATGCTGTATCCATTTGCAATGTTTTTCAAAACACGATAAACAGTGGACAAAGGGATGCCTGTTCTACTTGAAATCACTTTAGCTGATCTGATGTCCTTGTTATAATACTCTAAAATCAACTTCCTCTTCTCCAAATCATCCATACTGAGGATCACTGAAAATGTCGTCTGCTAGCAAGTAAATAAAGGGGATAACTCTTCACAAACTAATGAAAAATGATTAACGGAGTTGTCTCTCTTGAATGAAACCAAGCACTTGATAGCTGGTCAAAGTTGTTTATACTAGAAATCCAATTAAACATATTCCTAAAATTCTCAATAATTTCTGGTCATACTATATATGCCATGTGCCATGCGCTGTTGCAATAGGACGTGACTCTAAACAATAACATCAGTAATCGTATTTTAGGCGATGGGCTTAATAACGGGAAAATATCCCTTTATTAAGCCCATGGGCGTAATTATGAGTGAGCTAAAATACGGGAAATCCCGGTACTTAATTGTCTCTTGGCAGTACACACATACACGTTAGCTGACCCTACATATTCATTCACCCAAACCCTCGCGATTGCCTGTATTTCAGCGGAGCAGTAATGCTAATGCAAACGCGAAAAGACACACTTCTATGCGCGCTAGGTATGCGACAGGGCGATATGCTTGATTCCTCCTTATCTCTGCTTAACGCTGAAAATTTCAAATATTGTGATAACACTAATTTTCCATCTAATGTCATACCCCTGGGGTATAGAATATACGGGTATGTTCGTTACCTGACACTGGAAGTGTTGCATTTATACAGCCATACCTATATCTGGAGTAGGGGCCTCGTCGGTTTCATATGACCTACATAGAAGCTCGTGACTAAACACACGTATTTTATTTTATGCAAGGCTATGTTTCCGTCAGAGGTCAGGTATACAAAGGATTCCTTACCTTTTTGATGGTTGATAGTTAGTTTGTTCCCTCGTGTTCTAACGATGATTCGACTGTTTTAACAAACAGTAGTCACAAGCAGCTTGTTACCTACAGTCGGTTTTACCGTGTCACTATTCTACTTCCTGGTTGTGAGTTGACATCGATACACACCTCGACGTCAGTGCGCTATACATTGTATCACTGATCAGCTAGTACCAGCAAGGTAGTAAAAGCATTATTTGACGGTCACCATAATTTGGCAGTGATGATCAAACCAATTAGATAACCTCGACATAATTATAACAGCATAACAACGCCTAGTTGTTCATCGATCATATCTCGTTGCTGCGTTTCAGTAGTCTTTGTCTGTCTCCCAGACCGTAAAGGTTCAATTAAATAGAGCTCAACTAAAGTCTAGAATTGCCTCTGCTCCATACTGACTTTGAAGGTGTATGTTTATATTTAGGATAAATATATTTCTGGCACTAAATGCCGGCCTATTTAGTTCTCTAACTTTATTTAATTACATATCGGGGTAGGGGCGTGACGGAACGCAGTAGTGTAAGCGTTTTCTCGCCGATGGTCCTTCGATTTATAACATAGGTACGATGTGTGAAACCTATTCTTGGTGATTCTCTTCGTGAAAGCGTTGGAACATTTCTAAATGCGTCGCAAAACCTGATTCGAATTTATTTTTTTGAATATTGCGATATCATAATATTAAATATTGTGCGTAATACAGTCTTTCCCATCCGGAGAAGAAGTGCAAACCCCCTACAAACCACCCAGACAACTGCGATCTGAAAGCAAATTCTTATTGAAAACTCCTTCTTATAGACTGGCCTCTTATGGAAAGCGCTCTTTCAGTGTGGAATGAACTGCCCCTCGCCTAAAAACTGTCACCATCTTTTCCTGCGTTCAAATCACATCTTAAAACGTATCTCTTTTCACTGCACTATCAACTAGTACCACATACCAATGATAACGGTGTAATTGTTTCGTTGACACGCTGACTCGTTTGTGGATTATCATTACGTGGTCAGCGTGTCAGTCACTACTACTACTACTACTACTACTACTACTACTACTGCTACAGCTACTACTACTGCTACTGCTACTGCTGCTGCTACTACCACCACTGCTACTACTTACTACTTCTACTACTACTATTACTACCACCATACTACTACCACTACTACTGCTACTACCGCACCACCGCTACTACTACTGTTACTACTACTACTGCTACTAACACCACTACTACTACACTACTACCACCACCACTACCACCTACTCACTACCATCATACCACCACTACTACTACACTACCACTGCTACTACTACTACTACTATTACTACTACTATATACCCCGCCAGTATTATAACCGTTACAAGAACAGGAGCTGTTACTACACACACTACTTTTGGAAACCTCAACACAGTAGAAAATAAATGGATTTCCACTGTGAACCAACAACACAGTTCGTATTTGTGTACCCAAGCACCATCGTCACGGCTGCTAAACAAGGGCCGTCAGAAATGTACATGTATGCATTCCAAAAAATTCAAAGTCTACTTTGAAAATAAAGGTTTTGGTCAGTGAAACAAAAGTTTCCATGCCTTAGAAAGTCCTGCATCATTTCTGGTATCATAAGTACGTACAATGCACCCTGGATATAATGCCGCCCCTGATATAATGCCACCCTGGATATAATGCCGCCCTGATATAATGCAGCCCTGGATATAATGCCGCCATGCTTATAATGCCGCCCTGCTTATAATGCCACCCTTCTTACCATGCCGCCCTGCTTATAATGCCACCCTACTTACCATGCCGCTCTGGATATAATGCCACCCTGCTTATAATATCACCCTGGATATAATGCCACCCTGGATATAATGCCACCCTGGATATAATGCCGCCCTGGATATAATGCCACCATGGATATAATGCCACCCTGCTTATAATGCCACCCTGGATATAATGTCACCCTGGATATAATGCAGCCCTGGATATAATGTCACCATGGATATAATGCCACCCTGGATATAATGCCACCCTGGATATAATGCCACCCTGGATATAATGCCACCATGGATATAATGCCGCCATGCTTATAATGCCGCCCTGCTTATAATGCCACCCTTCTTACCATGCCGCCCTGCTTATAATGCCACCCTACTTACCATGCCGCCCACTTACTACTGCCGCCACTGCTACTACTACTACTATTACTAATTACTGCCACTACCACTACTACTGCCACTACTTACTACTACTACCACTACTACTACTACTACCACTGCTACTACTACTACTATTACTATTACTACTACTATATACTGCCAGTATTATAACCGTTACAAGAACAGGAGCTGTTACTACACACACTACTTTTGAAACCAACACAGTAGAAAATAAATGGATTTCCACTGTGAACCAACAACACAGTTCGTATTTGTGTACCCAAGCACCATCGTCACGGCTGCTAAACAAGGGCCGTCAGAAATGTACATGTATGCATTCCAAAATTCAAAGTCTACTTTGAAAATAAAGGTTTTGGTCAGTGAAACAAAAGTTTCCATGCCTTAGAAAGTCCTGTATCATTTCGGGTATCAAGGGTACGTACATTGCACCCTGGATATAATGCCACTGCCCTGATATAATGCCGCAATGGATATAATACCAACCTGCTTATAGTGTCACCCTGCTTATAATGCCACCCTGCTTATAATGCCACCCTGGATATAATGCCGCCCTGCTTATAATATCACCCTGCTTATAATGCCACCCTAGTTATAATATCACCCTGGATATAATGCCCCCTACATATAATGCCCCCCCTGCTTATATTAATGCCGCCCTGGATATAATGCCATCCTGCTTATAATATCACCCTGCTTATAATGCCACCCTGGATATAATGCCACCCTGGATATAATGCCACCCTGCTAATGCCACCCTGTTTATAATGCCACCCTGGATATAATGCCACCCTGGATATAATGTCACCCTGGATATAATGCCGCCCTGCTATAATGCCACCCTGTATATAATGCCACCCTGGATATAATGCCACCATGGATATAATGCCGCCATGTTTATAATGCCGCCCTGCTTATAATGCCACCCTACTTACCATGCCACCCTGCTTATAATGCCACCCTACTTACCATGCCGCCCTGGATATAATGCCACCCTGCTTATAATGTCACCCTGGATATAATGCCACCCTGGATATAATGCCACCATGGATATAATGCCACCCTGGATATAATGCCGCCCTGGATATAATGCCACCATGGATATAATGCCACCCTGGATATAATGTCACCCTGGATATAATGCCACCCTGGATATAATGCCACCCTGGATATAATGCCACCCTGGATATAATGCCGCCATGGATATAATGTCACCCTGGATATAATGCCACCATGGATATAATGCCACCCTGGATATAATGCCACCCTGGATATAATGCCACCCTGGATATAATGCCGCCCTGGATATAATGCCACCATGGATATAATGCCGCCCTGGATATAATGCCACCCTGGATATAATGCCACCCTGGATATAATGCCGCCCTGGATATAATGCCGCCCTGGATATAATGCCGCCCTGGATATAATGCCACCCTGGATATAATGCCATATAATGCCGCCCTGGATATAATGCCACCCTGGATATAATGCCACCCTGGATATAATGCCACCCTGGATATAATGCCACCCTGGATATAATGCCACCCTGGATATAATGCCGCCCTGGATATAATGCCACCCTGGATATAATGCCGCCCTGGATATAATGCCACCCTGGATATAATGCCGCCCTGGATATAATGCCACCCTGCTTATAATGCCATGCCCCCTGGATATAATGCCACCCTGCTTATAATGCCACCCTGCACCGCCCTGGATATAATGCCACCCTGCTTATAATGCCACCCTGGATATAATGCCACCCTGGATATAATGCCGCCCTGGATATAATGCCGCCCTGGATATAATGCCGCCCTGGATATAATGCCACCCTGCTTATAATGTCACCCTGGATATAATGCCACCCTGCTGATAATGCCACCATAGATTACATGCCGCCCTGGATATAATGCCACCCTGGATATAATGCCGCCCTGCTTATAATGCCACCCTGGATATAATGCCACCCTGCTTACCATGCCGCCCTGGATATAATGCCACCCTGCTCTGGATATAATGCCACCCTGGATATAATGCCACCCTGGATATAATGCCGCCCTGGATATAATGCCGCCATGGATATAATGCCACCCTGGATATAATGCCACCCTGGATATAATGCCACCCTGCTTATAATGTCACCCTGCTTATAATGCCACCCTGGATATAATGCCAACCTGGTTATAATGCCTCCCTGGTTATAATGCCACCCTGGATATAATGCCACCCTGCTTATAATGTCACCCTGCTTATAATGCCACCCTGAATATAATACCACCCTGGATATAATGCCACCCTGGATATAATGCCACCCTGCTTATAATGCCACCCTGGATATAATGTCACCCTGCTTATAATGCCACCCTGGATATAATGCCACCCTACTTATAATGCCGCCATGGATATAATGCCACCCTGCTTATAATGTTACCCTGTTGCTTATATGTCACCCTGCTCAAATGCCACCCTGAATATAATACCACCCTGGATATAATGCCGCCCTTGTTATAATGCCACCCTGCTTATAATGCCACCCTGGATACAATGTCACCCTGCTTATAATGTCACCCTGGATATAATGTCACCCTGCTTATAATGCCACCCTGGATATAATGCCAACCTGCTTATAATGCCACCCTGGATATAATGCCAACCTGGTTATAATGCCCCCCTGCTTATAATGCCACCCTGGATATAATGCCACCCTGCTTATAATGTCACCCTGCTTATAATGCCACCCTGAATATAATGCCACCCTGAATATAATGCCACCCTGGTTATAATGCCACCCTGGATATAATGCCACCCTGGATATAATGCCACCCTGGATATAATGCCACCCTGGATATAATGCCACCCTGGATATAATGCCGCCCTGGATATAATGCCACCCTGGATATAATGCCGCCCTTATAAATGCCACCCTGCCACCCTGGATATAATGTCACCCTGGATATTATGTCCACCCTACTTATAATGTCACCCTGGATATAATGTCTCCATGGATATAATACCACCCTGCTTATAATGCCAGCCTGGATATAATGCCGCCCTGCTTTTAATGCCACCCTGGATATAATGTCACCCTGCTTATAATGCCACCCTGCTTATAATGCCGCCCTGCTTATAATGCCACCCTACTTACCATGCCGCCCTGGA